TTAGGTTTATTAAACCTATAATTATGGAGGAAAAATGTAAAAGTGAAAACAATACAACAAAACAAAAATAGTAATTAACCGTAAATTATTATAAAACAAAACAATAAAATATTCGTTAAATTTTAAATATAATTTTTAAAATGATCACCATTATTTAAACAAAATGTCAAAACTTTTTTTATTTTTTTATCGCCTTTCGCAACCATTTCTTGAGGTACTGCCGCATATTGATTTACAAATCTTTATTCAGCAACTTGTTTATTTATTGGTTCGCTTTTACTGAGGTCCTCAGTATTGCATTCGTTGCAGACGAAACAATTTTTCTTACCCCCATTTTTTAAAACTTTTTTTAATTTTTCCGATCATTTTAAGTCTGAAAATGCAAAAAAAAATTATTCGTCTGTGTGTTTGTATGCCGGCACGATAACTCTAGAATGAAAGTTCTGATTGACTTGCGATTTTGATTTTCTTGAATTATTGCTTCTAACTTAGAATCCTATTGAAATTTTAAGCATTGTAAAAACACAAACACGTTAAATTTAACAATTTTTTTGACATTATCAAAAATTTAAATGTAGATGTAGCAACCGATAAATTCCTGCCAGACCATTATTTCCTTATTCAACTGGTAATAAATTATAAATCAACAAATTTTTAGCCTTGTTCTTAACACGTTCGTCAAAATGACAGCTAGCTTTTAGACTATTACTTTTACTGTGGTGATTTCCATTAAATTGGGAAAAGTTTGAACTCAATTTTCCCGCTTTAGAGTCACCCGCTATTACTCTAAGCTCCAAGCGATGCCCTTTTTGGAACCTTTTATCGCTTATAGCCGTAAAAGTGGGATAGTGTGATGTATGTAAAATATTTTCCAGTATGCGACTTTGGATTTCAATGCGACGTGAAGCGGTGCATTCCGAAAGACTGGCAATGTGATGGCCACGTGGATTGTAAAGATCAATCTGATGAACTGAAATGTCACAAATGTGGTCCAGGTATGATCAATTGTGGAGCCGATAAATGTATCACGCAGGAACATCTGTGCGACGGTAAAGTCGACTGCCCTTGGGGTCAGGACGAAAGGAATTGCCGTGAGTCAATAAATTTAATTCATTTTGGTTTTGATTTATTTATACTTTCGCAAAATTATTTTAAAAAGATTTTACAAATTTCGCTTTGCACAAACGGAGTTTTATTTATACAAGGTGTCCCAAAAAGTTTTATCTTCCCAGCAAACATTTTCGATATTATTAACTATAACTCGACTTAGTTAAAGTCATATCTACTTATTGAGGTAATTTATTACGTAAAATTGACTAGAAAAATATACCTTTAATTTAAATTTATCAAAAGGTTCTAATTTATATATAAATTTACGTAAATTATACCAAGAAATTTACCTCATAGACATATCTGCTTAAAAGTAACTTTAACCAAATCAGAAACGAGAAAACTACTAACAAAAATAACCAAAAATTACCTGAAAGGTAAATTTCCTTTGAACTAAAATTAGGTACCATAATTATGTAACATCTACCGGTTTAGCAACTAAAAATCGTCTTTATAGTAGAATATCCTACTAGGTAGATTTTGTTTTCGTAACTTTATACCTCTATAGTAACCTATTTGGATGCTTTATTTACTCTACTTTAAAGTAATATTAGGTCGATATCGTAGAACAATTATACCTTGTTTATCTACTTAATTTCAACCAAATAGTCAATTACTCATTTAGTTGACCTAAAAGTCATCCTGAATAAATATTTAACTTTATTATAGCAATTATCTGAAAAATCTACTACAAAGTAATTTCGACTATAAACCACCAATTTAAACCCTAGCCATACCAAGGGCGTAGATAAGGGTAATGGGGGTAATTACCCCCCTCAAGCCATAGTCAAGATCATTATTTTAAACGTTATTATTTCCTCATTATTTCCTCGCGCAACTTAATGATCTGTTTATCAACTTCAGCACGGCTTGGCATAGTATCTCTGGCAGAATACAAAGCATTCAGATTTTTTTAGAATAGAGCAATCTCATTTTTATAGCTTCCTGAGAAGGTTTTGCTCTCTGTTTATCTGCATTATCATTATTTTCGCATTGCTGTTGTGATTCATTGCCGGGTTTTATTTTATCTTCTTCCCGTTTTTTAATATTTGAAGCTGGCTGTATAATTTGTGTTTTTTCTGCAGGTTTATAGGTAGTCGTTGCCTAAAATAAAATTTTTCTATGGGTTCTGCTAAAGATTCTTTTATTAAGCTACATAAATACAAAGTATGCAATAAAAAACTGCATTTAAAGATTATTTAAAGCCCTATGGCTCTAAATAATCTTTAAAGCCGAGAATCGAACCCATCACATACAGAAAACTAACACCCTGTATTTTGTGACCAACTGACGAAGTCAATCTTAAGAAATAAATCTATATAATGAATATTACCTCTATACTTTGAGATAGGCCATAATATTTTCTAATCAGCAATTCTTCTTCAATTCTCTTAGATACAATAATATCTAGTTCCTTGTCGGACTTTGCTTGTAATTTATAATTTCACCACACTTTGTTAACTTACTTTTGTACATTTTTTACTTTCGTACTTGTATCAGATTTTTTAAAACGTTCAAACAATTTTTGGTGTAACTTGGATTTGTCTATTTGAAACGAACATCTTATTTAATTAATGGCTAATGGAATGAACGGTAACACAAATGTTAACTTGCTTTGCTATGCTTACAATACGTCTACTCGCTATAGTATCCAAACGAAACAATACAGTCAATACACTGACAGAGGAAATTTAGACAAGTGAATAGCGCGCGGTAATTCCCCGACTCGGTTCTAAAGCGAGTGCCTAAACGTATGCATTATTTGCGGAAATCCCCGAATATGCGTTTCGTTTTCAAGTATAGGCAATGTGAGGGTTGCCATTCGTGTAAAAAAGTACATAACTACCGATGACGTAATCATCATCTAGACTCCCTACCCCCCATGTCATCCAAAATAAGCATAACAAAGCCCCTCCCGCCTCCCCATAGTACTTACGTAATACTTGAATGGCCCCGAAGCAGTAACAAAATTGTTCCCATATATTACAAAAAACTAGTCACAGGAATATGGATTAACTTATAAAAATAAACTTATTAAAGACTGTTGTTTTAATGTATAAATATCTCTATGTAGAGGTTTTTGTGATAAATGGCAATTTTGTATTTTTCAACTTTATATTCCCCCATTTCTAGTTATATATTTTTGTTGATGTCATGTACTTGTTTGGGACAGCTGAAAATGGTTAAGACAGTGTGAGTAAAACACTAGGTGGATTCAATCCGCCCTAGACAGATTTTTTAAAATTTTCATTAAAAATATTTTCACGTTGCGGGTTCAAAAATACTTTTCATTATTTTGTAATTTATTTGGGGACTTCCAAAAAATTTATATACCTTCCTTTTCGGATGTTCCATTCCATATAACTTTTTACTACAGAATAATTATATAGTATAATTATTTGTAGCCTAATTTTTTGTTACAACCTGTATGTAATTCATTAAAAATTTAATTCAGTTCACATTAACTGGTTTTAAGAAAATTTTGATGTTTGTAACAAGTCTCCGCATATTCATGTTCTTCTTTGATGACACTTTAATGCGATTACCCCACAACTCTGTTACATTGTTGACAGCAGACAGATGATGTTTAATTCGTAAGTAACTAAGTTTTCCTAATTGTTGCAATCAAATAAAATTTGTTTCCATCAAAAGATTTTCACTCTAAGAATTACATAAAAAAACTAAATGAAACATTTTTTATTATGTTTACTATGCAAATTAGTATTAAACGTCTGAACCACAAAACGATCGCCTTTTTCAAATTCATTGGTAAAAATATGTTGTTTTTTGTCCGTTGGTCACGTCTCCAGCTCTTTAATTTGTCAAACTCGTCTAGCTGCCGAGAAAACCACTTTTCTCCAAATTATTTACTTTACCGAGAAAGAGAAACATTTTATTTATTTACTCTCTCGCGATTCTCTAGACAGACATTGGCCTTGAAACGGCCAATTCATAGCTTCCAAGGACAGTACCGTTTAACAGATTATCTAATACGGAATGATTTTAATTTATCATGTAACTAAATCAATAATATTTTTACTGTTTACAAACCGGTAATAAACCATTATTAGTAAATAAGTTACGTTTTTGCATTGCATTTTTTTTTAATTGTACACCCTGTAAGAAATTTTCAATGCAAAACTTGCACCTACTGTTGACGACCATATTTTAAAAGTATTTCTAAATATACAGGACAGTCCATAAAGAAAATAATTAATTGATTAATTGGTGGTATAAAATTAAGGGGGTTTTCCATGACATTGTTTTTTGATACAACCTGTATCTGTATCTGTAACGTGTGGAGTGAGGGTTACCACCACGGCACTTAGGCCTCATTAGGCCCATTGTGCATCCTTCTGAGATGATAGGCATCTCCTAGCTCATGAGCCAGCCTACAGATTTAATGTCGCCAAGGGGTGCTTCTGTTATATCGGCCGGTGTTAGCCGATACTCGCCGAACACAAATCTTCTAATAAATGAGAACGTCGGGCAATCGTAAAGTATATGCTCGATGGTCTCATATTCTTGTTCGCACCCTCTTATTTCAACAATGTCATTCAAAAATTCTGCATTATCATCAGAACATTCGCTGTTTTCTTCCATTATTAATTCTTTAATTAACAACAAAAATAAAATAAAGTGATGTAAGTCTTGTAAAATCCTAAAACTCTAAGAACGATTCATAATCAGTTCGAAAGAAAATTTATTCGTTGTTGGAACTAAATTGTAAGTTCCGAATTTTTCAAACGACTTGTGTAACGGTAAAATACCTTTGCGCAGACTCAGTAGAGTTCTGAACCGTTGTCAACTTTTGTTGGAACAAAGGTAGTAATATAAACTTGTTTTTACTTTTAAAGGCGCGTCCACCATAAATTAGAATACAAGTTAACCAAGAGAATTTAATTAATAACTAACTCGATTTAAGACACAAAAGAACGATTATGTATCTAAATTAAATTTCTAATCATTTCTAAATCAGTAGTAGTTAGCGGTATTATATAATAGAATTAGGCCCGACGAGAAAGGGGACAGGGAGGGAAAAATCCCCGGGGTCCGGCAGCTAAGGCCTTTTTTTTTTAGAAGTTCGCTAAAAAAGGGAAATTTAACACAGAAAGAACTTGATTTTTTATAAAAATGCTTCGCTGTTTTTTGCAAATCTGCCAACCCTAGTTATATTGCCCTTGCCAGTGTTTTTGCCCCGGTTCCCCACCATGGCTCCCGGCGGCCCTGAATAGAATACATGAAATAGTTGAATCAAATTTTACATTTTGAAGAGTAATCCACAAAAAATATTTCTATAGCAAGCCATGGCCGACAAAAACAGATACGAATCATGTTCGTGATAACTAAGCGCTCTGAATTAAATCCAAACTGACACTTAAGAAGAATTTTAAGCACGCTCGACGTTCCTTTTTTATAGTTAAATTAGTACTTATTCAAAATAGAAAATGAACACATTATAATCCAACATTTGAATCGATTTTAAGTAAATTTGGTCTGAAAGAGAAATCGTCATTTCCTTTTCTTTGCTAAACCATCGATAACATCTCAAAGTTATTTCCAGGCCATTTGATATCATTTTTTTCGTGTTTTCAGTTAGGTTAAGTGAACGAAATGGAGATGAAGGGAAGGGTCAATTAGAAGTATATCGACCGGATCAAGAAAAATGGGTGCCGGCATGTGTGGTCCATTGGAATGAAAGAACTTCTGCTAGGAACATATGCTCAATATTAGGATATTCGTAAGTTTTCATTTTTATTACTCATTTATTAGAAATATGATGATCTGTTATGATTTTTGTTATTACTTCCTTAAATTTTCCCTTCTTTCACTTCTACATAGTAATTAAATAAGTTGAATGGCAATTAACTAGAAAGCTTTTCAAAACATTGAATGCTGTTTTCAGTGAACTTCACAATTATGTTTAATAGTTCATAATTCAATCTCATATAGGTTAAATATTTGTATTGTATTCCAGAAAATTTGTTCCGTGTCGATAATGTGAATTTACGACTAAGTAGTCAAATGTGTTTTTTTATTTTTGTTTAAAGCTGCTTTGTGTTTATCCGTAAATTTTCGAAATGGATTATTAACATTGACTAAAAAATTGTATAGGGTAAAAGTAAAATTTGTAATATAATATTAATAATAATAATTTATTTTTGCCCAAGTAAAGAAACATTTACGATTATTACAATCTGATCATTAAGATCAATTAGCAATTTTATTCTAACCTAACTTATCTAGGGATGAAAAACTTCATAATCCAAGATTCTACTCACTAGTGTACCTTAGAGTATAATCATTAAGTTACACTATCGTTTTTTAAAATACATTTAACATCTAAAAATTCTAACATACAAGACAATCGCAAGACAATTAGAAAAAAAAATAACCTAAAATTTGAGCATCCTCTTGACAGATAACAACGTACAATTAAAAATATCACATTGGGAATAGTGCTTATTGTAGTTGCACAAAAGCCTATTTATGAAAGCTCTCTGTCCATAGTTTAAACGTTGAATTTTCTCAAATAATAGTTGTGACTGTCGAGTACGCCTTAACGGGACAACGACATTTACTTGAGATATTAATGTTTCACAAATAATGACCATTAATTATTTTGTAAAGAAAAAGTAACATTGCATCCCTGCGTCTCCGTTCAAGAGTTTGCATACCACAGAGTAGTAGTCTCGTTTCATAAGATAAATCCCGGTATGGAAAGTGAAACTTAAATAACAAATATTTACAAAATTTATTTTGAACTCGTCCAATTCGCTTAACATAAGTGGCTTGAGACCGAGACCAAACAGTGCTGCAATACACTAAAAACACTTCGGATTAAACCATTGTACAAACATGTTATTGCTTTAGTGTCCTAATGAGGAGACGCTCTCCAGATTGGTATTATTAATTACACATGTGTTTTCTATGGGGTTAGAACGTCTGTAAAATTTTATAACTTTACATTTTGGAATGTTTAGTTGTAAATAGTTGGCACTGTACCAGGAGACGAAATAATCTAAATCAGACTGTAGGGCGTTGCGATTAGGTTCCACAACACTAAAAAAATTCAAATCGTCAGCATATAAAAGTCAATGAGAATTTTTAAAACAGGACATTACATCGTTTATAAACAATAAAAATAAAATAGGGCCAATATGCGAACCCTGATGTACACACGAAGACACTGTCACTTCCCGCGACATAAAACCACTCAATGTAACACGCTGCCGACGGTTAATAAGATATGATTTATTTCACTTAAGGTAATTGCCTATTACACCAATTTCAGATAGTTTCTTTAAAAGCAACTGCTGACACACACTATCAAACGCCTTAGAGAGGTCGGTAATAATTGTGTCAACTTGGTAACCAGCTTCAACGGAAGAGGTAATAAACTCCTGATAAATAGCTAGATTAGTAGTTGTTGATCGACCTCTGTAGAAGCTATGCTGCTCGTCTATTATGTAATTCTTAAACGTGTAGAATAATTCATTTGTTAGGATTGATTCCAACAGCTTAGGAATTGTTGATAAGATAGAAATGCCACGATAATTTTTTACGTCACATTTATCCCCGGACATATCCTCTGTCGAATGACCTCTGGAAATTGTGCACAGAGGTGCAGATAAATCAGGGCACTTGTTGAGAAGGATAGGTGATATTCCATCTGGACCAGAACCTTTGGAAGGATCGAGGTCCAATATTTTCTTCTTTATTTCATCTTCTTTAAAGATATGAAATAACAGGTGGGAACCAAATTTAACTGCTTTCAGGTGGTTTAAGTCAAGAGTGCTGTAGTTACTGTAACAAGACTCAAAATGTTGTGCAGAAGCATCGGCAATAAATAAAGATGTCATTAAAATATCATTGTTGTATTTCATGATAGAAGGCATATGTTCTATACGTTTTAGACTATTAATAAATGTCCAAAAATATTTCACATTTTCCGGAATAACATGTTCAGTATTGCTAACAAAAGTACGGTAACATAGGTCCATATGCGATATTTTACCTCACATCGAATGTCGGAGTATGTTTTGTAGTCTGAAGCCTTTTAAATTTATTATATGGTATTGCGGCAGTACCAGGATGAATTAACGATGTTCCTATTTTATTCTGGAAACGTTGAACTTTTACTGGTACAGCCCCAAAACTGGATACCATACGTCCATACGACTAAAAGGACACCTAAGTAAACTGAGAGCAGTAGAGGATAGTGAGTGCAGATTCTGTAAGGAGGAGGACGAAATCTCCATTCACATCCTAACTGAATGTGTAGCACTCCAGAATCTAAGGGCACTATATCTAGGAGGATATCAAATAGAAGAGGGAGATTTACCTAACTTGAAGCCACTTCAAATCCTACACTTCCTTGAGAAAATAGGATTCGAAGGGTCGTTATAGGCATTAAGACATTTCCTTAGTGCATTGGCGACAAAAGGGGGCATAATAGATCTTTTAGGTCGCAGTGTATTAACACCCCATTCTCAACATAACATAACACACTAATGAATATTTCCAAACATCAGGAAAATACCCACATTCAAGACACCAATTTGAAGCATTTTAGCGGAGATGTCGCTACCCGTTGCATTTGACTTTAGATTTGAAATATTTTGTTTAACCTCTTCCATAGTCGATAATTTTAAAGAAAATGTTATATTGGGCTTAAATTTACGTGAGTCCTAATGATCAGTTGTTATGAAACAAATATTTCTAGCACTGGATTTTTAAAACGCTCGGGGATTATAATATTCTCACTATTTTTGATATTAAATGAATTAATTGTTTTCCAAAGCTTTTTAGAGTCTCTATGATTTAAATGATGTACTAGATAAACGGATTTTTCTTTACTGGCAGCACTGGTAACGATGTTCCTGATATCTTTATAAGAAATATAATCAACAGTATTTTTTGTGCTTTTATATTTCGTTAATGCCCTTAATCTTGCCTCTTAATTTCATCATTTCTCTTATTGTTGGTGTCAGCCACGGTGCGAATGGTTTAGTTACTTTAGAGTTGATATAGGGTGCATGCTTATCAAATAAATCAAGAATATATTTATTAAATAACAAAATTTTTGTTTCAGTATTGTTTTCCTATATGATATTGAGAAACGGTATATTTGTAAGGTCTCTTTCAAAATGTTCAAAGGAAACATTTTTGAAATTTCTGTATGTTACGATTTGGGGTGCTTTTTTTATAGTTTTTAAATTCATTTCGCAGAACACACCTCGGTGATCAGATAAGATATAATCTATAACACCGGAACATCTAATAAAGTCAGGTGTGTTTGTAAAAATTATATCTAGCAAGCTTTGGGATGTTCGAGTTATGCGTGTAGGTCCCTATTTTCTATTATAGGTTTCAATCTCTTAAGAAGCAATTTTTCATATAGGTTTGAGATAACAGGTAACAAGGAGATGGGTCTGGATAATGTTACTTCATGAGTAAGTTTATCTGGCTTAGATATCATTATAACTTCTTCCAGATCTTTGGTACGTACTTTAGTCTAAAGAACGCAATGATAAGATTGGTTATTTTGTCAATAGCTTTCTGTGGAAGCATTTTCAAAATTTCCCCAATAATGAGATCAAATCCAAGGGCCTTTTTCGGATTTATATTTGTTTGGATTTCCATATAAACTTTTTTAGAGAGGTAGGTTTAACGACTGTGTCTTCTTGTGCTAGTTCCATACATTCTTGAAGATCTTCACCATTATTGGGTTGGAAGGTACTCTCTAAATGTTCCTCAAATCTTTTGTTTCCGACTCATTTTTAATCGGTGCTCTAGTAGACTGTTGTCATTTTCTCTAATTTTCCTTTTTTCTGAGATAAGATTTCTGATCTCTTTTGGAAAATTATTACCTTTAATCTTAGGAGTCTTTTTCCACGCTGATTATTGAATATTTTTAACAAAAAGTGCAACTTCTTGGTCTAATTATTTCTCAGTTCTTAATGGAATCGAGAGATCAATTAGTTCTTCTAGGTTGATTTGGAAGCCTTTCCATTCAGAGCTTTTGGTGACTAGTTTAGGTAAATTTTATTTCTTGATTACAGTATCACTCAATGTGAGAAGTATGGGAGAATGATTTGAGTTAATGTTCCATGATTCTTCTATCTAATTATTATAAATTTATTTGTTTATTCACAGAATACAATGTTTTAGCATCGTCGCAAAGTTTAAAACTATAAAATGAAGTAAAATAATATACTACATAATAATTAAATTCCTATAGGAAACTAAATCATTAAAATGTATAATGTACGCTTGAGAGTAATTTAAAATATTACGACTCGCTGAATGGCAAGTCCCAAGCAAAAAGAAAGACAAAAAAAAAGTTACGATAATTCAAAAGACCCCTATTTCTTGTGTTGTACTCATGTAGAGAATATTAATGAACGTTTCATTTGTTTTTACATAGATATTGCATTGAATTATATAGCTTGAAGGTAGAGTTGGGTTTTTAAGTTTTTTAAATAGTGCTTTACATGATTCATATTGTTAATTATTACAAATATATTAATGAAAATTGCGAAGGGTTTTTCTAACGCTTGTTCCTGAAATATCATGTTAAAGGGTCGACCACTCTTTGAAGTAGGTATCGGTTTTTCAGTAAAGCGAAAGTATTGCTAATCAATTTTCGATGGTTCATCTGGAACGTGTACCAAATATTTTTAGCGTTATGTTGCGCACGTGCCAAAGACACATTTTTTTAAAAATAGACCGTGAATC